AATGTGACCTAGGCGAGTTTGATGGAAATGTCCTTTGGAAAGCAAGGACATGTAAATTTCAATGGAAACGTGGAGCTTATTCACAGAATTTTGGGAAATTTTAATTATTAGTTTTTCAACATATGTGACTCATTTGGCGATTACTGTGTAATACATGATGAATTAGTTGGGTCCTCGCCTAGTCTGCTCTATTTCTGTTTTTAATTACCCGTTAAATATTCTGCTAGACCTTAGAATCTTAATTCTTATTAAGGACAGTCTAGCCTAGCAGAGAGCAAAACGTCTTCTAAAATACCTAAGCAGACATTGATTATTCACCAGCTTCAAACACAAGGAATGGTTCATTTCTATCCTTGTTTCTCGTTTTATTAATTTTTTCTTCAGAATCTTCTTCCTCAACTCTGCCGAGCCACCACTTGGCTTCCAATAAATATTCAAGCCAAAATATGTCGTACCTGGGCCCGGGTCTGCAAAAAGCCTTGCCTAGACTCCTCGTCTACTGCTGAATTTTCCACCTACTCTACAAAAGAGATACTCGATCGAGACAATTTGATTGACCCAGAGAAAAGTTCGATTAATCTTTTGGCCCTTCAGAAAATTCTGGCCCAACAGGTGACCCTACGATGCCTGACGATGGAACAAGAAACGCCAAACGAGGACAAACAAATCCGAGAGGCAGCCAATGTTTTGCGCATCGTTTACTTTGCAAGTCTTTTGGCTGGTCAGATGGACTCATCTGAGACGTTGAGGTTGGAGGCTGAGGTTAACGCGTCCTTTGAGAATGATATGCAAGCATTCTACGCTGCGGTTTGTGAAATAAGCGGATTATTTATTCATTACTTAATAGCTGATGTTTTATCTTACATGCTAATCTAATTGGATCGCGAATGCATTTGATGAATATCTTTTTAATAACTATCTGATTTGGTTTTACATTCCAGCATATTGCTGATCCTAAGGCTCGACTATACAAAAGACTTAGTTTATAAGGCCTCGTTATTCGCATTTTAAAGTATTTTTCTGCACTCATTATTCATAAATTAAATTAAAACTATTATAATGACATAATTCATACCTCAGGAAGCTTATCTTTTATTATATATTCTTTGATTAGTAAGGCGTTTGTTTAAATGCATCGATAAACTAAATTAGCTTAAATTAACTTTTATTTGAAATTGTGATGGCCTTGTTCATCAAAGCCTATTTTTTTTATTTGTATATTATTGTTACAAGGTTGTGCAAAATAAATAACTTCCACGATGAGTTGGCTAGCAGGCTTCTGTAGATTGGCAAGAATTTGGTTCATTTTTGCTATTCCTTTATGCTGATAGATAGTCAAACAAATTTTATTACTACTGGGCTAAAGGATCATGATCGATCATGGATCTTCCCTCTGCTATCTAAAGTGTACTAAGATATCCTTAGCTCTCGTTTTTGTTATATTACTTGCTTTCCTTGAATAACTAAACTAAAAAGGCATTCACATTTTAGTGTAAGGCTTCTCCTTTTGTATTATATATAGATGACACGCCTCTGATAGTGTAATGATGCAGAGACCAAGACTTAAGATTGAGGTATATTTTAGCCCTGGTGATATTAAGAAGTGGATGTGGCTGACGCTTTTATTAGTGTTTTTTGATGTTATTATTAATTGTATTAGAGTAGAGTTTAAGAATTAATCTTACTGTTTGATTCCTGATTTCTGTTAGGTAATTATTTCGCTCTTATAAGCCAAATATACTCTTGATTCATTATTTACGGCGTGAATTAAGAATTTCAATCCGTATATCTTAGGCTTTTTCATAATAGTTTCCGATCCTGGTATTCTATAAGGCCTTCTGATATCTATTTAGCAATCCGTCATGTTCATCTCATTTTGATATTAAATGAATCAAAGCAATGCGCTTTGATATTATTTCTATATGATCATATATATATAGTCTTATATGATAAGTTTATTTTATTTGTTGTGATGACTTTCATCTCCCGTGAAGAGATTCATAGGTTGATCTTACTAGAAGATATCTGCTGATTTCAGTTTTTTTGTAGCCGCTTGATTTTAATATGATATTTATATTGACGCCTTAGCACAGCCTCTAAGAACGCCCGATATTATTGAGAGAGTAAACCTGAGCAAAGGTTCAATTTCAAGGCTACTTAACTTATCATCGAGAGTAGCACACATTTCATCTTTAACGCTAGATTTTGTGAATACGTGCCAGGATTTGCAATGACCTCTTGTATAGCCTCCATTTTGGCTAATAATTATGTCAAAAATGGAGCAAATCTTGACAGAAGAGGGAAACTTGGCACAAAATGTTAGATATGTGGATGATTATTTTGAAATTTTTCAGCCTGGTAAAGATATACATGTATATATTATAGCTCTTAATTGACCAACTGCATAATAATGTTAACTTCGCAATGGAAATAGATAAAGATCATGTTTTACCATTTAATATTTTGGCTACTAGAGCCATAGTTACAAAGCAAAGGTGAAAAATTTTAATGCTGTGATTATTCTGAGTGTACTATTAGCGGATAGAGCCCATTGGCACAACATACTAGATAAAATTAAATAAATATTCACTATCAAATCCATACAAACTTGGTCTTTATCACCTTTATTATTATTAATCAATCTCTGCTAATATTCTCAAGAACCTATTCATTACTAATTAAACAAATAGTAGCTGAGACTATTTCTATTTAGGCTTTATATTATGCCGCTAGATATGAAATGAAAGCTCTTCTTGAAAATAAGTTTAGATTTCGTTTTCCGATGTGATGAAGGCTTCCCAATTGATTAAGGTTTTGAGCTAATTAGTGTAACGATAGGCCTCTTTAGGGCCTTAGTAATATTAATGTTTCCTCATAACGATAAAGTTAT